ACATCTAAATACCAGCACTCTGGGAGGCGGAGGCGGGAGGATCACCTGAGGTCAGGAGTTCGAGACCAGCCTGACCAACATAGTGTAACCCCGTCTCTACTAAAAGTACAAAAATCAGTCAAGTGTGCTGGCCTGCGCCTGTGGTCCCAGCTACTTGGGAGGCTGAGGCAGGAGAATTGCTTGAGCCAGGGAGCCAGAGATGGCAGTGAGTGGAGGTTGCACCACTGCACTCCAGCCAGGGTGACAGAGCGAGACTCTGTCTCAAAAAACAAAACAACGGGTCGGGCGTGGTGGCTCATGCCTGCGATCCCAGCACTTTAGGAGGCCCAGGCGGGTGGATCACTTGAAGTCAGGAGCTGGAAAACAGCCTGGTCAACATGGAGAAACCCCATCTGTACTAAAAATACAAAACTTAGCTGGGCATGGTGGCACACACCTATAATCCTAGCTACTCAGGAGGCTGAGGTGGGAGAACTGCTTGAACCAGAGGGGCAGAGGTTGCAGGGAGCAGAGATTGCACCACTGCTCTCCAGCCTAGGTGACAGAGTAAGACCCTGTCTCAAAAAGCAAAACAAAAAAAAAAACGGCTGAAATGTCCAGACAGACACATCCATGGATATAGGAAGTAGATTAGTGGTTTGTCAGGGGCTGGAGAGAGCGGGGAACAGAGTCACTGCTAATGGGTACAGGGTATTTTGGAGAGAGACTAAAATGTTCTAAACTTGACTGTGGTGGTCGTTGCACAATTTCGTGGCTATACTAAAAAGCACTGAATAATGCATTTTAAATAAGTGATTCACAGTTGACCCTTGAGTAAGACAGGTTTGAACTGTGTAGGTCCACTCATACATGGAGCTTTTTGCAATAAATATAATCCCTTGACTGGGCACAGTGGCTCACGCCTGTAATCCCAACACTTTGGGAGGCCAAGGCAAGTGGATCACCTGAGGTCAGGAGTTTGAGACCAGCCTGGCCAACATGGTGAAACCCTGTCTCTACTAAAAATACAAAAATTAGCCAGGCATTGTGGCGTGCACCTGTAATCCCAGATACTTGGGAGGCTGAGGGAGGGGAATTACTTGAACCCCGGAGGTGAAGGTTGCATGCAGTGAGCCGAGATCTTGCCACTGCAATTGCACTCCAGCCTGGGTGACAAGAGCGAAAGTCCATCACAAAAAAATATACATAATCCCTCCATATTAGCAGCTTCCAAATCCGCAGCCAAACGCACATTGAAAATACGATATTCAGCTGGGCATGGTGGTTCATGCCTCTAATTCGGCACTTTGGGCTGAGGCAGGTGGATCGCTTGAGCTTAAGAATTCAAGATCAGCCTGGGCAACATGGCAAAACCCCATCTCTACCAAAAAATATAAAAATTAGCTGGGCATTCTTGCAGTAAAACAAGCCTAAAGCAGAATAAAAAAAAAAAGAAAAGAAAAATTAGCTGGGCATGGTGGCGCCTGTGGTCCCAGCCACTCAGGAGGCTGAAGTGGGAAAATCGCTTGAACCGAGGAGGTAAGAGGTTGCAATGAGCCAAGATCACACCCCTGCACTTCAGCCTGGGAGGCAGAGCAAGCCTCTGTCTCCAATAAAAAGCCAACGAAAAAGGAGGCCATAGGGTGGGCCTTGATCCAGAAGGACAGGTGTAAGCAGAGATCAGGACACAGACATGCACAGGGGGATGACGATTGCCATCTGCAGCCCAAGCCAGAGGCCTCAGAAGAAAGCAGCCCTGCCCGCACCTTGATGCCTTCCAGCCTCCAGAGCTGAGACAACAAGCATGTGTTCTTTCAGCTGCCCGGTCTCCTACGGTCTGTTTGTTACAGCAGCCCCAGCAGAATAATGGGGCAGAGGACACACTCACCATCCTGACTGTGGCACCGGCTTCAAGGGCGCATGCACATGTCAGGAATTATGTGGACTGTGGCGCCGGCTGCAGGGCGCATGCTCATGTCAGGAATGATCTGGACTGTGGTGCTGGCTGCAGGGCGCATGCACATGTCAGGAATGATCCGGACTGTGGCGCCGGCTGCAGGGCGCATGCACATGTCAGGAATGATCTGGACTGTGGTGCCGGCTGCAGGGGCGCATGCACGTCAGGAATGATCCGGACTGTGGCGCCGGCTGCAGGGGCGCATGCTCATGTCAGGAATGATCTGGACTGTGGCGCCGGCTGCAGGGCGCATGCTCATGTCAGGAATGATCTGGACTGTGGCGCCGGCTGCAGGGCGCATGCACATGTCAGGAATGATCTGGACTGTGGTGCCGGCTGCAGGGGCACATGCACATGTCAGGAATGACCTGGACTGTGGCGCCGGCTGCAGGGCGCATGCATATCAGGAATGATCTGGACTGTGGTGCCGGCTGCAGGGCGCATGCACATGTCAGGAATGATGTGGACTGTGGCGCCGGCTGCAGGGCGCATGCACGTGTCAGGAATGATCTGGACTATGGCACCGGCTGCAGGGCGCATGCACATGTCAGGAATGATCTGGACTGTGGCACCGGCTGCAGGGCGCATGCACATGTCAGGAATTATGTGGACTGTGGCGCCGGCTGCAGGGCGCATGCACATGTCAGGAATGATCTGGACTGTGGCGCCGGCTGCAGGGGCACATGCACGTGTCAGGAATGACCTGGACTGTGGCGCAGGCTGCAGGGGCACATGCACATGTCAGGAATGACCTGGACTGTGGCGCCGGCTGCAGGGCGCATGCATGTCAGGAATGACCTGGACTGTGGCGCCGGCTGCAGGGGCACATGCACGTGTCAGGAATGACCTGGACTGTGGCGCAGGCTGCAGGGCGCGTGTACATGTCAGGAATGATCTGGACTGTGGTGCCGGCTGCAGGGGCACATGCACATGTCAGGAATGACCTGGACTGTGGCACCGGCTGCAGGGCGCATGCACATGTCAGGAATTATGTGGACTGTGGCGCCGGCTGCAGGGGCACATGCACATGTCAGGAATGATCTGGACTGTGGCGCCGGCTGCAGGGCGCATGCACATGTCAGGAATTATGTGGACTGTGGCGCCGGCTGCAGGGGCGCATGCACATGTCAGGAATGATCTGGACTGTGGCGCCGGCTGCAGGGCGCATGCACATGTCAGGAATTATGTGGACTGTGGCGCCGGCTGCAGGGCGCATGCACATGTCAGGAATTATGTGGACTGTGGCGCCGGCTGCAGGGCGCATGCACATGTCAGGAATGATCTGGACTGTGGCACCGGCTGCAGGGGCATATGCTCATGTCAGGAATGATCTGGACTGTGGCGCCGGCTGCAGGGGCACATGCACACGTCAGGAATAATCTGGACTGTGGCGCCGGCTGCAGGGGCACATGCACACGTCAGGAATAATCTGGACTGTGGCACCGGCTGCAGGGGCATATGCTCATGTCAGGAATGATCTGGACTGTGGCGCCGGCTGCAGGGGCACATGCACATGTCAGGAATGATCTGGACTGTGGCGCCGGCTGCAGGGCGCATGCACATGTCAGGAATGATCTGGACTGTGGTGCTGGCTGCAGGGGCACATGCACATGTCAGGAATGACCTGGACTGTGGCGCCGGTTGCAGGGCGCATGCATGTCAGGAATGATCTGGACTGTGGCACCGGCTGCAGGGGCGCATGCTCATGTCAGGAATGATCTGGACTGTGGCGCCGGCTGCAGGGCGCATGCACATGTCAGGAATGATCTGGACTGTGGTGCTGGCTGCAGGGGCACATGCACATGTCAGGAATGACCTGGACTGTGGCGCCGGTTGCAGGGCGCATGCATGTCAGGAATGATCTGGACTGTGGCACCGGCTGCAGGGGCGCATGCTCATGTCAGGAATGATCTGGACTGTGGCGCCGGCTGCAGGGGCACATGCGCATGTCAGGAACGATGTGGACTGTGGCGCCGGCTGCAGGGCGCATGCACATGTCAGGAATGTTGTGGACTGTGGCGCCGGCTGCAGGGCGCATGCACATGTCAGGAATTATGTGGACTGTGGCGCCGGCTGCAGGGCGCATGCACATGTCAGGAATGATCTGGACTGTGGCGCCGGCTGCAGGGGCACATGCACATGTCAAGAATGATCAGGTTACCCATGTGGACGTGTACAGTTCATCTCAACAAAGCTCCAAAACCATGTCATCCTCCACAGGGAAATGCCACTGTCACCAAGGGCGAAGACACACCCAGGTGCTGCCCACATTCTGGATTAAAGGGGACTCAGGTCTCTGCAGCTACAGCATGGGAGTGAACTCACAGCCCAGGTGCCTCGTCTGCTATAAAGAACAGCACCAGGCTTCATCGCCACCTGTGCCATCCATTTCTGGGAGTGGCTCTGAGGGTCCAGTGTGGTGCTGATCTCCGATCAGCCAGGAGACTTCCCCAGTTCCTACCCACTCCCCAGCCCCCCGGAGCAAGAGCAGTGGATTTCCTTTACGTCATCTGTGCTTCTAAAGCCCAATACTGGACATCAGAGAAGCACAGCTTCAGGTCCAAAGTGCCCGGTTAACTCCCTCTCATTTCAGCCCTACCTCCCTCTTATCCCCTCTCCTCCCCATTCACCACACCTGCCCTTTTATCATGTTTAGACATGGCCAGAGCAGACCAGGAACTCCTACAGCAGGGCACAGAGTCCAGCAAAGTGCTGGTGGCCTGTGCACCATGTGGGTTAGTAGAGGACTGCAAGGTGTCATCTCTGCATACCTCTGGGTCTGGCCCGTTTGCCCAACATCTTTACTGAATGCTCACTGGGTGCCAGGCCAAGTATAAGACTCAGCCAGCAGAACTGTGAGCCCTCGTGGAAGCATCACTGGGGCCACCGGGTGCAGTAGACAAGGAGGAGGATGGCGGGGAACAGACCACAGCACAGAGGCCACTGGGGTGACCCCAGCAGGGAGACAGTGCATTCTGCTCATGGATGCTGTCTGGACAGCACCACCCTCTCTGGGGGCCCTAAAAGCTTTGAGGCCTTGCCACAAAGGATATAGAGTTCATACCTTCCTTGGCACAAGCCAGGCCGCCAGATCCCCCGCCAATCACCAGGAGATCATAGTCCCACTGACCTGCTGAGGGAAGGGATGAGAGGTGAGAAGAAATGCAGCCAGCACAAGTCTGGGGCACACACCCAGCAGGGCCCCCACAATTTCCAACAGACTAAAAGCTCTCTGGTTAAACGTGGTGAGGGATCTATTTGATCAGAATGGGAGACTCCATTCTGTGACAGTCAGGGGTGACAAGGCACCACGCATCACAGCAGAAAGAGTGACTCCATCCGTATCATCTGTGCAGATCCAGAGATCACGCCATACGGGGCGAGGCTGGCCGTGGGTGTGTGACCATCTTTGCAAACCACGCTGCACACACACACCAGGCCAGCTGCTCTGAACTCAAACTTTACCCAGTGTTCCCATCGAGACACAGAGCTAATTTCTTTTTTATTCTGTTTATTTTTGAGACAGCGTCTCACTCTGTCACCCTGAAGATTATAGTCCCACCGCCCTACTTGGGGGAGGAATGAAAGGTGGGAAGGAACACGGCCAGCACAGGGCTGGGACACAGACCTGGAAGGGCCCCCATGACAGGAGCACAGTGGGGCAATCACAGCTCACTGCAGCCTCTACCTCCTGGGCTCAAGTGATCCTCTAGCCTCAGCCTCCAGAAAAGCTGGGACTATAGGCACAGACCACCATGTCTAGCTAATTTTTTTGGGTTTTGTAGAGACAGGGTCTGGCTACATTGCCCAGGCTGGTCTCAAATACCTAGCCTTAAGCAATCCTCCCACCTCAGCCTCCCAAGGTCCTGGGATTACAAGCATGAGCCACCAAGATGGCCTAAAACATTCTGGAGTCCACACGCCTTTCAGTTGTGAAGTCAGCCCCCTGTCACAAGTGAGCAAGAATAAAAGCACAAACAGCCCATGTCACTTACAGCTGGCCAGTCCACACAGCCAGGGTCTCCGTGCGCCTGGCCGCAGTGACCCAGGAGGGAAGCCACCTGGGCACAGCGACAGCTGCCTGGGCTGAGGTTTTATCCCTGGAATTCCTTTCAGGCTGGCTGTGGTGTCGCCTGGCCTCGGTCCTCCGTGGTGGCTCACTGCACACAGGGCCACTCTCAGCCTTTTTAGTCTGCAAAAGCTGTCATCTGTGTCTACCCTGGAAGCTACTGGCGAGGCAGGCAGGCAAGGGGCAGCCAAAAAAGGGAGGGATGGAGAAGAAGGGAGTGGGGGGAGGAAGTAGAGAGGGAAAGCGCACTGAACTGGGCCTGAGGTCTGGGACACCCACACCAGGCACCAGCCCACTCCCTGGTGCAGGAAGGAAGAAAGAATTGAAAGGCATCAGTCTGTTGGGGTGAGCGCAGGGTGGGGACTGATGACAGGAGTCTGGGTATAAAACAAGTGCTCTCAGCCCGTCTGCAGATACAAGCCTGCCCAGATGAGAAGCACCACCCTGCCAGGGCATCTGGAGCTGGTCGCTGCTTCAGACAAGGCCAAGAGGTTCCATGATCAGAGCAGGGTCTGTCATCCAAGGCTGGGCAACCTGCCCAGCACCAGCATCAGAGCCCAGCACGTGTCATGAGAAGGCTGAGCCTATCTTTGCAGCCACCTCCACCTTCCTAGGCAGGCAAGGCTGCAGAGAATACACCTGGAATGCCATGTCCCTCTGCACCCCAGCTCTGCCGATGCCCCACAGACAGGGGTCTAGAACCTGCACTCCTAGAGGATACAAGAGCTAGAACCAAGACGAGCCCTGGCTCACAGCTGAGAAAGCCTGGGAAGCTGCATCCAGGCAGTCAGGCCATGGCCTGAAGCCAGCCTGCCCCACACCCAGACCCTCCCACGGTTTCACCTGGCAGCCAGCATCTGAGTGCTTGGTTCCAGCAGCCACTCTAAAGCACACTCAATTCCTAATTCAACTCAAGGGCTCTGGAAAGGCCTAAACTGCTGTAAATTATTCTGGTGGCTTTAATATAAGTCTAGAGCACGAAGGACTGCTGGTTAGGGAGAAGCTGCCACCAGGTCCCCTGGGAAGCATGCACCTGCTGATGGAGAAGCATGCACCTCTCCTCCTGCTGTCTGGTGGCCGGAGGCTACCTACCTCCCTCCTGTGGCAGTTGCCTGTTCTTGCTGCATACAGGGCCCTCACTGGGTCATCCTGCCCTGCAGCCTTGCACTGTGCCCCGTGTGCTGTCGGGGAGGGTGAGCAGCAGGCTGTGTGGATGTGCTTATCTCAGGCAGCTTGCTCTCCCCCTGTGCACACCCAGGAGCCCTCTCGGGCTGATAAACACTGGCACAGGGGAGTCAATTGCAACTGTAGGAAATCTGCCTTTAAGCACTTGGGAGTCCTGAGTAGCCTGAAAGGGAGGAAGGAACCCAAAAGTACCACAACAGTAGGTAGGGCAGATGCTGCTCTGTGGGAGGAAGGGCTGGGTGGCAGGCATTACCTGGGGACACATTTGTGTACTCCAGTGCCCTGGGAAACCTCATAACTTTGCCCCTCACCCACTTTGGCCAGGTATACCCTCTCTGCCTACAGGGGTTGACCCCAGAAAGTGTCTGCCTCACCTGCCTGCTGACACATTGTCCATTAATTTTCTGCTCTGGGCCGGGTGTGGTGGTTCACACCTATAATCCCAACACTATGGGAGGCCAAGGCAGGCAGATTACAAGGTCAAAAGATCGAGACCATCCTGGCTAACATGGTGAAACTCCATCTCTACTAAAAATGCAAAAATTAGCTGGGTGTGGTATCGCGCACACCTGTAGTCCCAGCTACTTGGGAGGCTGAGGCTGGAGAATTGCTTGAACCTGGAAGGCGGAGGTTGCAGCCCTCCCTCCCAAGTCCACTGCTGGCTAAGGCCAGCCACCCTGTCTCCCACAGCCACCATCCCTGAGCTGAGATCGTGCCACTGCACTCCAGCCTGGCAACAGAGCGAGACTCCGTCTCTAATAATAATTTTCTGCTCTCTTTGAACCCACTGCCTGGTACAGGCCAGCAAAGAGCAGGAGCCCAGAGCTCATAGCAAGGCCCAAGAGAATGGAGCACCCTACCAGCGAGAGCAAGCAGAAGGCTCCCCCAAAATGTGCACCCACAGGCGGGTTGGCCACCTGGGGGTCCACCTCCCGTGCGGCTGCTTTCCCTACCTTGAGCTCTTTCCTGGCTGCCAGTGTCACTCTGGCTCCTGTTCAGGGGCTACATCAGCCACCTCCTCCAAGCCTGGCATGGAGCAGGTCTTCCTACTCTAAAAGGAGAAACTGCAGGGCCTGTAGTCCCAGCTCCTGGGGAGGCTGAAGCTGGAGGGTGAGTTGAGCCCAGGAGTTCAAGGCTGCAGTGAGCTATGATGGCACCACAGCACTCCAGCCTGGGTGACAGAGTGAGACTCTGTCTCAAAACAAAAAACAACAACAAAAACTGCACCCTGGGCCAGGCACAGTGGCTCACATCTGTAATCCCAGCACTTTGGGAGGCTGAGGCAGACAGATCATGAGGTCAGGAGTTCAAGACCAGCCTGGCCAACATAGTGAAACCCCGTCTCTACTAAAAAAAATACAAAAAACTGTACTCCAAAGTTGCTGTAGTGGGTCAGCATCTTCTCTAGGCCAATCAGTTCCTCCTTGCCCCAGTGAGGGGCAGGACCCTCAGGGTACCTCCTTGCCCAGCTAGAATCCAAATGCTCTGGCCCAAGGCCATGGTTCCTGGAAACCTGAGGGGCCCTGAGCTTGTGATCACAGGGGCAGCTCCTGTTTATGAGTCTTTTACGAGCACCAGGTGGGAGCATGGATGCATTTAACCTGACACACGCAGCCAGGAAGCTTTGAAAGATGGAGTGCCCTGGCTGAGGGTCTCAGGGCTAAGAAAAGCCACGAGGTGGTGACTGCCTCCCAGGACTCTATCGGGTCACCCTCCATCTTGGAGATCCCCAAGACCTCCATAGCAACACCTCTACCCATTCACACATGCTGTCAGCCCTCCCTCCCAAGTCCACCGCTGGCCAAGGGCCAGCCACCCTGCCTCCCACAGTCACCATCCCTGGGAAGGAGCCCTAACCGCGTCCTCACACCCCCTACACTCATCGCCTGTGGGGAGAGCTGCTCGCTGTCACAGGCGTCCGGGGACAGGGTCGAAGGCCCGGCTGCATGGTGGGGCACCATGTTGTCATGCATGGAATGAAACTGGCCACACACAACAGATATGGTGGCCCTTTGGCCCGCTCTGGGGGAATCTGTCCTACAGGATGAGGTTAGAACCCTCCTGAGTGACCAGGCACCCAGCTCCTGCTTCGAGTGCTCAGTTATGATAACGGTCCTGACTTCCTCAACTGTTCCTCAGGGGCTCTAGAAGGATGAATGTGTATCCTCCCCTTGCTCCGTGCAGCCTCTAACCTCTAGAGTCTAGGGGTCTGGGGAGAAGGTAGGAGATGGGAGGTGGGAGGTCTGACCAGTGGAGTTGGTTGGAGCCTGGTGACCTCAGGAGGTGGGACATCATCATCTTCAGGACTGTAGTTGTTACTGGGGCGCCAGCTATGGGAGACCAAAGGTCACAGCAGGACCTTAGAGAAGGCACCCAGCCTCAGTTTCCCCATCTGGGAAGGGGGGCTGCCTGTGGGCTGGAAGCAGCCCGGACTCCTGCGCAAGCCTAGATCACGGGTACCTCCGCGTGGCCACCCCCACGGGGACACCCCGGCCCCCGCCGCACGGACACCCCCACGAGAGCACCTCCACGAGGGCACCCCCACAGGACACCCCCGCCCCAGCCGCGCGAACACCCTCACGAGTGCACCCCCAGGCGGACACCCAGGCTCCGGCCGCGCGGACACCCCCACGAGGACGCCCCGGCCGCGCGGACACCCACCACGAGGACGCCCCGGCCCCAACCTACCTACGGCGCCCTGCGCCGCGCCGCGCACCCCTCCCGCCACGGCCGGCATCCGCCACCGGAAGCGCCCTCCCAGTCCCCGCAGCGCCGCCGCCATCGCCGCCATCGTCGCGGGGCCTCCTGGGCGGCTGGGGCTGCCCGCGGCGTTGCCTGTCCCAGCGCCCGCCGCGGCAGGAGAGGTGAGAGCGCCGCCCGGACGGGGGCCACACTGGGGCCGGGTTGGGGCGGAGGCCTTCGGACCTAGGGCGGAACCACGGGATAGGGTGTGTGAATTCCGACCGACGTGAAGGGATCTGACTTTGGGCGGGGGTCTCTGGACCTGCGGGGAGGGATCTGACTTGGGGTGGGGAGCCTTGGATGGGGAGTGAAGAATTCGGACCTCGGTGAAGGGATCCGACTTCTGGTGGGGGGGGGGTCTCCGAACCTGGGTCGAGGAGCTACGGATGGGGGTGGGGAATTCGGACCTTGGGTGGGGATCTTTGCACCGGAGCGGGATCCCCAGACTCCTTGTGGGAGGCTGAGGTTGAAGACCTGTGCTGGGGTGAGGGGCTCCAGATAGAGGTGGGAGCTCCCGCTTCAAGACTAGGTTGGGGGTCCAGACCAGGAGGATAAGCCTGTCCCTGGAGTAGGGCTTGACCTGATGAGGCTGTGGCAGAGTCACAGGGGAGGGCCCCACTTGGTCCTTGGGATGGGATCCGACTCTCAGAGCTGGAGAGTTGCAGGGGGCCTGGAGGAGGGTCTCTGGAGCCCGAGAGTCAGAGGGCCTTGGTGACCTCTCTAACAGGCTTCCTGTTGGAGGCCTCGGAGTACCCTAGGTCTTCCCCTGCGAGAGAGTGGCCGCTCCACCAGGAAGGGGCCCAGGACTCCCCAGGGGGGTGCTGTGTGGCGTGCAGGGCCACGTGGGAATGTAAGAGAAAGGGAGAGTCCCTCCAGGCCTGCCCCGCTAACAGACCTGCTTTCTGATTTTTCCAGCCAGGGGTTTTTGTGTCCTGTTGCTTTTGGTTGTTTAAAGTGACCCTCCAAGCCCGAGGGACCATAGGAGCGGCCCTGCAGGACCCAGTGAGACACTAGTTAATGCAGAAAAAACAGATTTTTACTTAGTAACCACTGACAACATGAGAAAAAGCTGGCTCCAGGCCGACACGCCTGGGGTTTGAAGGGGGAGTGAGGGAGTGGGAAGGGAGGGGGGCGGGTGGTGGAGGGGGAGGCCGCGCGGGGGTGGGGGGGGCCGGGGGGTGCTCAGGAGAGTTAGGGAAGTTGAAAATCACCAAAACCAGGAAGGGAGGGTTGGCCCTTGTGAAATCAACTGATCTGGGTTTGCCCCTGGTGCTTGCTGAAGTCAGGCCCCCAACCTCCCACAGAGACGGGGAGACAGGGACCTCATCCTCAGGCATTGGCCGGAACTCACAGGAAATTTTTCTTTTTTTGAGACGGAGTTTCACTGTTGTTACCCAGGCTGGAGTGCAATGGCGCGATCTCGGCTCACCGCAACCTCCACCTCCTGGGTTCAAGCAATTCTCCTGCCTCAGCTTCTGGAGTAGCTGGGACTACAGGCACGCGCCACCATCCTCAGCTAATTTTTGTATTTTTAGTAGAGACGAGGTTTCACCTTGTTGACCAGGATGGTCTTGATTTGTTGACCTCGTGATCCACCCGCCTCGGCCTCCCAAAGTGCTGGGATTATAGGCGTGAGCCACCTCGCAGGGAAATTCTTGTGGCAGCCTTGAGTTTGTCAGGCAGGCACGTTAAAGGGCACTGAGATCCTTCTAGGAATGTGGCCTTGAGCTGTTAGGAGCCGTGTTAGTATTCGTTCCAGCCTGGATAGGCCAGGGCGAGGCCCAGTGGAGGAGGGGGCTCCCAGGAGCCTGACTGGAGTATGGGGAGGGAGAGTTTGCCAGCACTCCTCCTGTGCAAGAAGAGCAGGGACTGCTTCTTTGCTCTCAACAGTTACCCATCCATTTTCTGTTTAGTGCTGTGTTCATAAAGTACTAGCGGAACCATCTCTCAACACTTGGTAGCAAAGGATTTTTGCTGGATGATACAAGCAGTCAGGCATTTAATGAGGAAACAAAAATAAAAATAGGCAGGGCATGGTGACTCATATCTGTAATGCCAGCATTTCTGTAGGCCGAGGAGGATCACTTGAGACCAGGAGTTTGAAACCAACCTGGGCAACATAGTGAGACCCCCATCTCTACAAAAAAATTTAAAAATTAGCCGGGCATGCTGGTAGGCACCTGTAGTTCCAGCCACTCGGGAGGCTGAGGTGAGAGAATCCTTTGAGCCTGGGCGGTGGAGGCTGCCATGAGCCGTGATCATGCTTCTGCACTCCAGCCTGAGCAACAGAGAGAGACCCTATATGAAAACAGCGAAACAAAACAAGAAAGAAAAACAAAGCTGCGTGGTTGGAGCTGTTGATAAACCCAGTTTTTGAGCCTAGAGGGCAGCAGTTGAGATTTCTGGCAGTTGGGCCCTAACGAGGAAAGCAGGGGCACTCACGGATTTCCTGGTGTGTAGTGTGAAGTTTGTGGTGATGGCGTAGGCACTGGTATCCCAGTGTAGGGCTGAGGGCCCCACAGGGTCGTGGGGTGAGCCTTATGCTGTGCTGAGGCGCAGGATCCGAGAAGTAAAGAGACAGGACACAGAAGTACAAAGAAAACGCAGCTGGGCTTGGGGGGCCACGCCACCTATAAGCGGAGTCAGGCGAGGCCCCGAATGTCCAGAAGCATGAGTATTTATTGTGTATAGGTTATGGGGCAGGGCAGTGAGTGAAATCATCTTTAAGGATAGTGATAGGGTCGTGAGCAATAAAACATGGGGTCCACCCCCATTAGGTCCCCTAGGCACCTTGTGCAGCAAGGGGCCCGTTCCCATGAAGGCAAGGGCCGTGTGCAGTAAGGGGTCCACCCCCATTTGGTCACCGAGGCTTGAAGGTGGGCCGTGCGCAGTAAAGACGGTGCAGTGTGCAATACTTCTATCTATGGGCAAACTACTAAGAAGGTTTATAGGAGGATGCTTAAGTCACATCGCAGTGACAGAGCTGTCAGGGTTACTGTCACCTTCTGGCAGTTTCCAATGGGTTCTATGGGAAGATGATTTTCAAGCAGCACAGTAGCAAGAGCCGATAAAGTTCACAGTCACCAAGGTGGATTGCCGGTCTGAGGGCAGCCTTCTGCAAGAACTGGAGCAAGGTCCTACAACTCCTTTATCAGGAGGAGTGGCTCTCGCCCCAAGCCTACCATATAGCGGGTATCTTTGCGATACTGAACGCTGCCGCCTGGGCCATGGATTCTTGTCCTGGTATAACTGTTTTCCCTTATATCATGCTCTGTACTGTGTCTGCTCTAGGCATTCCTCTGATTATAAGCTGCTTATTCCTTAATTCATGCTCTGTACTGTTTCTACTCTAGGCATTCCTCCGATATGAACTAAGATATAATTATAGGTATATATGTAGGGAAATATTCTTTAGGCACTCATACTATCAACTATTATATGATTATATATAGAGGATTCGATAAAGGGATTCGTCAAGCCCTAATTCTATAAACTAATATATGATTATATGAAGGATTATATAAAAGGAAATAGCTGAGTAGTAACACTATAAAGTGGGATATTCCTCAGGCCCTGACTGTGCCAGGGTTCTGCTTAGCTCTCATTCCTCAGTGCCTATATGGGGGGTTACCCACATCCCAGTGGTGGTTACTTCCTGGAGAGAGCATGGGGCATGCAGGAGCTGGAGGGGGTGCTTCCTGGGTGGCCTGTGTTGCAGCGGCTCCAGGCATGAAGGCCGCCCATGGAGACTTGGTAGCAAAGGATTTTTGCTGCGGAGTATGTTGTGGTGGTGCTGAGTTCTTTCAAGCTTATATCAAACTTTCTGGCTTCAGTCTGCAGGGCTTTTGTTCAGTTCCTGAGGGCAAAGGGCAGCTGCAAGACCACCTGAGTCCCAGTAGGGATTTGAGTTCTTGGTAACACCAAGTCAGAGAGGACACAAATTGGAAATGTCAGTCTGGAGAGAGTAGTAGCCAGAAGAAAAGTAGCAGGGAGGATTTGGTAAGGGCTGACATGTAGGAAGGCAGTGGCAGAGCATAAAACCTCAAAGACAGGCCAGGCCCAGTGGCTCACACCTGTAATCCCAGCACTTTGGGAGACCAAGGTGGGTGGATCACCTGAGTCCAAGAGTTTGAGACCAGCCTGGCCACCATGGCAAAACGCTGTCTCTACTAAAAATACAAAAAATTCGCTGGGCAGGGTGTCTCTATTAAAAATACAAAAAAATATAGCCGGGTGCCTATAGTCCCAGCTACTCAGAAGGCTGAGGCAGGAGAATCGCTTGAATCCAGGAGGTGGAGGCTGCAGTAAGCTGAGATAGCGCCACTGCACTGCAGCCTGGGCAACAAGAGCGAAACTCCATCTCAAAAAAAAAATTTTTTTTAGATACACCTCGGCTGGGCGTGGTGGCTCACGACTGTAATCGCAACACTTTGGGAGGCCGAGGCGGGCAGATCATGAGGTCAAGAGATGGAGACCATCCTGGCCAACATGGTGAAACTCCATCTCTATTTAAAAAAAAAAGAAAAGCCGGGAGAGGTGGCTCAAGCCTGTAATCCCAGCACTTTGGGAGGTCGAGGCGGGTGGATCACGAGGTCAAGAGATCGAGACCATCCTGGTCAACATGGTGAAACCCCGTCTCTACTAAAAATACAAAAAGTTAGCTGGGCACGGTGGCGCGTGCCTGTAATCCCAGCTACTCGGGAGGCTGAGGCAGGAGAATTGCCTGAACCCAGGAGGCGGAGGTTGCCGTGAGCCGAGATCGCGCCGTTGTACTCCAGCCTGGGTAACAAGAGCCAAACTCCATCTCAAAAAAGAAAAAATACACCTCAAAGACAGTGAACTAGACTAGGGTCTGGTAACTGCCAAGGGGGTGTTCTGTTTCTCCACTGGAGCATACACTGTCTCTTTACAAACACTTCCCTTTTTGGTCGAAGACAATCAAAGTAAGATTATTCCTATTTACCAAATAATTCTTGTCTCGTTAAATCTGGCCTGATTATTTACATAAATGCAGCACAAAGGGTAATTGACTACGCAGGCCTTTAGACCTTTTTTTTTTTTTTTTTTTTTTGAGACAGAGTCTTGCTCTGTCACCCAGGCTGGAGTGTAGGGACATGATCTT